CGAACGAACAAGTTGCGTGAAGCGCAGTCGTCATTGCGGTCACCGGAGTTGGAGTCTGGCCCAAAGCTAGTCCACGTGCCTCAATGTAGCCAAGTCTGATCCTCTTCGCTACGCCTCACACATGACAAACGCGTTTTCATACAAGCAACTACGCAGTGCCAAAAACAGTCCGAGAAGTGATGTAGAAATACATCGCACAATTCGTAGTAGCTGCTTAAACGTCGTCGCCGCTAATCACAACACGCACACCCCGCATCGCTAGAGCAAGATTGTACTGCAGCGCGACTAGTTCTCGCGACCGCCTCTCTGGCAGAGCTTTCACACCGAGTTTATTCTAGTAACATCGCTATGTACGACCTCGTAGATGACGTCAAAATATTTATTGCCATAGCGTTCGGTGTGGGAACTTAAAGATGGTGTCACCACCCGCATCTTACTTACCAAGCGCCTTCTCACGGTAAGAGGGGGTATTTGGGTGTTGCATAATTGTAATTAACTAACAAGCTGAAAATAGTTTTTCACTTTAGTGTGCATTAAAGAGCAGTCGTATAATTAGCCTGAACCACAGCTGTATGCATTACTGGTTCAGATAGCAACGAAAACTGAAGTGTTTAATCAAGTCAATGCATTTCAATGCTGTCATAGTTCTGTATGCTGACGCGGCCGAGAGATGCCCACGCTATGTGGTAATAGTTGCACCCAGCAGTTTTTGAAGCTCTTTCAAACCGAAACTGGTCGATAATGAGGACTTGTGTATATGTATCCCATGCTGCAGCAAACGATGTGCCATGTTATGACAAACAGACCCCTAGCAACACATTGTAGCAAAAAGACGCAAAACAATGTCTTTGTGTCATCATCACCACGATCATCAGCCTGACTATGTCCACTGCAAGACAAAGGCCTCTCCCATGATCCACCAGTCAACTCGGTCCTGTGCATGCTGCTGCCACTTTATACCCGCAAACTTCCTAGTCACATCTGTCTTTCTGTCTCCTTCTGTCTCTCCCTAACCCGCTTGCCTTCTCTGGGAATCCAGTTATTTACCCTTAAGGGGGGAGGTGGGGATCGAAAGTGAAATTCTTTAGTTTTTGTCGTAGAGCAATGAAATTTGGCATGCTTACTGAAAACTGCGCTAAATGATAAATGACAAAGTTTCATTCAGCTATCTCCAGTAGTTCTGGCATTATAAATTTTTTTATCCATCAGTGTACTACCAAACTTGCCCAAAGCCTGGTGTGACAAAAAAACATGGTAGAAGCCTATAGTTGCTCTTATATTTTAGCCATTGGGATGGTTGATGTCGTGACATTCTGCAAATATTTTTATGACTCTGTTTTTATTTTACAGAGAACATTGTATACATGCTTGTAAATGTGGTCGTTATCATAATGTGAAATTAGCTTAGGAGTAAAAATACTGAGGTAGTAATTAACAAATATGAAAACGTCACGACATAGAAAATTCACTGAGGAACACAATGCAAAAAACCACATGAAAATCCGTCAAGCCATAGTCATGCAAGCATCGTGGCAAGCTGGACAGTCGGGTCAAAACACGTTTCTGAGAAAACTGGCGTTAAAGTTGAACAGTCAGTAAAGGTCCATCAAAATGCCCCGGGACTGTAATACTTTGTGTCTTTGCTTGCGAGGGTCTTCTTACGTCCTTTCTCTTTCATTTTTTCTGCACTGCGTGCTTTTCGTTTTCTTTGCTGGTCTTTTTCTTGAGCTCTTTGAAGGGCGAGGCTAGCAGGTTTGATGCCCACGGACTTGCACATTTCAGTGTAGGCTCGCAAATTCCCAAAATTGTAGCGTGCAACTGCTTCATGTACTGTTGTCTCCACTGCGAACAATGAAGCGTGTTGGTCCTTTGAAGTCAGTGACCAAATAACTGAATGCAAGCTTTCTGCCGCATTCTGAGTTTTGTTGCCTTTGCATCGCTCCAACAGTTGCGGGTCAGAGAGACGTTGGTATACAGGCAGCAGAGCCTCCGCTACACGTTTCGACAGGTTATACCTGTGAGGTGGTGCTGGCTCCATTTTGGCCTGTGCTGAACGATGTTTGCACCAGCTATCAGGGCCAGGTGGGCAGAGCTCATGGTGAGGCTCGTCGTCGGTGGACGTGACGTGATAAAAAGTGGCCATCACGACCCTTTGCATGTCAGGGACACTTGTGTGTTTTCGCAAGGCTAACCCGTAGTAGCTGGTCAGTTTTTTAATCAACTCCTGCGTCAGTCCACCTCTCCCACCCAATGGCTCCCCTTTCTTAGCTCTTGTCACCAGTGTGCGGAGAGCGGTGCCCATCCTCTTCTGCACATGGTTCACGCAGTCTTCTTTGGTCAGTAGTATGAAGCCGTACACCTCATCTTTGCACAGAGCAAGATAGGTTCGGCTGTCACCATCACATATAATGTTGGTGTAGCGGAGGCCATACCTGCTGACAGAGCGCCTGAAAAGTGTCAGAGCAGCCTCCACTTCCATCTGTCCGGAGCCAACATCAGTATTCTTCTGACATTGATGTTTCTCAGCCCAAGTGACGAAGTTGGGGTCGCTCTCTGCTGGTTGTTGACAACACCCAAGACAGAAGTTGGAAAGGACTGTGCAATCCAGCACAAGCCCCGTGTAAAACTCAATAATACATCCTACCCCAATGTGTGAGCTGTGGCCTCTTGTAAGCCACGTGCCGTCATACACAACTGTGATGTTGTTTGGGCTTGATGGCTGCATCTTACTGTACACGTCTTTTACCGCAAGCACAGCATCTGCAAAGATGTTTTGTGCAGCTTCCTCTGCTCCTGGTTTGAATGTTTTTTTTAGGTGTTCCTGATAGGTTTTTTGATGGATGCCCCGATGAGAGACATTCATTGTAGCCCAGAAGTCATTCAGGGCAGTGGGCCCTTTTCCAATGGACTTGATTGCTTGCATGGCTCTTAGGTTGACTTCAAAAGCCCTTCCTTCGGATTTTCTACTGGATGACCAAGGTGAATGAATAGGGCCACAGGAAGCACACAAAAGTACCAGTTTTACTGCCAGGCCCAATTTTGTCCCATGCTGCACTGACAAAGTCTTCTTACAACATTTTGGGCAGAGTGCAGGTCCTATTAGGGAATTCATGGCAGAAACCTGAATTAGGGTGAACTCATCCTCTTTTGTTGCCGATGTTTGCTCCGTTTGCTGCGCGAACCCGAACTTCCGCTCCGTTGCCGACACCTCGCGAAGTGCATCGCGGACACTGCTGGCTTGCTTCTCGGCGCCTTCCGAGGACACGAAACGAGGTTCCAGGTGTATTTGAACGGTGCGCTTCCGCTGAGGCAAACGATCGCCGACATCCTGGACAGCTGGCACCACGTCGTCGTCCGCTGCCGCGAAAACGAAACTTTTCTCGCGTTCACACCGCACCGTGATGCCGCGGCTAGTTGATGGCCCCGGGTCTTCAGTGTCACTGCCAGGCGTCGATTCACCGTCACTTTGAACAGCCGGCACCGCATCGTCACCCGCCGCAGCGAAAACGAAACTTCTTTCACGTTCGGGCCGCACCGCAACGTCGCGGCTAGTTGACGGCCCCACGTCATAGGCCTCACTGCCGAGCATCGGCAGCGAGCAGGTGTCGGCTTCCGACGACACGTAGCTTGGTGGCGACGCGGTACTCGGTTCGTCTGATTCAATCGCAGCTGACTGCTTCGTTTTCCCAACAGGAGGCTTGCGTTTACGCTTCCCGTAAGCGTACTTCGTCCGGTACTTCGTCCTGCGCTTCCAGTCCACGCGACGATCCATTGCGGGCGCTAAGCCTCGCGCTAGAGAAGAGTTGGCGTATCGGCGACCGTATCGGCGTATCGGCAGGGGATTCGCAAACTATAGTGCGCCAGCGTGTGCGTAGCAGACGTGCGTGCGCGGAGCAGACGACCAGCGCAAGCAAGCGCGTCCCAGCTGCCACTCACAGAGCGCGCTCAGTACCACGTGACAGGAGCGACCAATGGGTGCGCGTCTAAGGCGTCGCGGATGCCTTCGCATTTTTTCTGTTTGTGCGTTTATCTTAGCTCGTAGAGTCGTGGTTTCACCGGGAGAAGTACGGCGGTGAAGCAAGCTTTCCAGTGACACCAAGCTTTCCGCGAGCGGCGGCGAAGGCGCGGAAGTATCGCGCTCGGAAATGGGCCATTTTCGCGCAGATTTCAGCCAGCTTTTTGCGATCCGCGGTCAGAAATACATTTTTTAAGCTTACTTTGAGATCGTTTTCGGCGGAAATATTTTTAGATATGATAGAAATGGTGATGCAGAATCCAAATCTGCCCTTATCCAAAATTCGTTTTTTTGCGAGAATTTCGCGATTTGATCCCCGCGTCCCCCCTTAATGACCAGCGGTTATCCTGTCTACGCACTACATGCCCGGCCCAAGTCCATTTCTTCTTCTTGATTTCAACTATGATATCCTTAACCCTCGTTTGTTCCCTAATACACTCTGCTCTCATCTTGTCTTTTAAGGTTACACCTACCATTTTTCTTTCCATTGCTCGCTGCATCGTCCTCAATTTAAGCTGAACCCTCTTTGTAAGTCTCCAGGTTTCTGCTTCATAGCTGAGTACCAGCAAGATGCAGCTGTTGTATACCTTCCTCTTGAGGGATAGTGGAAATCCACCTGTCATAATTTGAGAGTGCTTGCTATATGTGCTCTACCCCATTCTTTTTCTTCTAGTGGTTCGGCCCCGCGGTTATCACCTGCCCTAAGAAGACAGTGTTTTGCAACTTGAAGAGCACTATTACCTATATCGAAGCGCTGCTCTCTTCCGAGGTTGTTGTACATTATTTTCGTTTTCTGCAGATTAATTTTAAGACCCACCTTTCTGCTCTCCTTGTCTAACTCCGTAGTCATGAGTTGCAATTCGTCCCCTGAGTTACTCAGCAATGCAAGGGACAAATTGCAACTCATGTTGGTTCCTAACGGGAGTATCACTTCCTAAATATTTCTTCCTCCGTGCATGCGTCCCAGCATAGTACATGCACTGACCAGTTCCAGCCAGGGCACAATGCAGTCGGGATGAAAGTGATGCTGGCAGGGAAGCCGCTTGACTTGTTCACCCGTCTTGAACTCCTCCATACACACTGTGCACTGAAGCAGTTTGTCTGTAATCAAGCAAGATGCGCAAAGTTTGGACTGTTCTCTAATCAGCCAAATTCTAAGCAGCACATGAGAACCCAACTCTAAAAGACAATGCCAGCACGGACTCAGCTCAATAAATATAAGCCCAAAAAAGGCCCACCCACAAACAGTGTTTATTCAACAGAAGATCAAGTAAATCATGGTAGCCGTATTAACACAATCTGTCACCATGAGCCGTGGTGCAAATGACAGCAACTGCTCAGACAATGTGATCACAACGAGGCACAGTCATTGGCGGCCGTGAACTGCTCAGCAGCAAGTAAACCATTTTTTTTTTTCTAATCAACAGGCCCACAATGTGGCCATGAGGCATGGCCTTCCTCTCTGTCCCTTGATAAGACAGATGCTTGGGCTAGTTGATGATTGGGAATCGACATATTTGCACAGCGCAAGACTACAAGTAGTTACGACATAACTACACTAACTTTCTGTCCTTGTCTCTTCTTCTGTAGTTACATTGTAACTACTCGTAGTCTTGCGCTGTGCAAATATGTTAACTCCCTGTCCCAACGTGGGAGCGGCCTGCAGTCTTGCCTTTTTAAAATGGAGTAAAGATTCTTCTGGACGACAATAAATGTTACTATCAATCAATCAATTTCAATACATAATGCAGGTTACCCCAATATTGTTACGGGGATTACAAATACACGAAAGAGAGAAACGAGTGTATTTGCAATATTTACAGGTAGGTGTGACACCCCAGGGCTGCCAGGATCTCGCGCGCCGAATCCACTTCTTCATCGATGCGTCTACGATGGCGGAGCCATGCCCACTGCCTCGTAACAATGTAACAAAATTCAATATGTGCCAAAGTTCTGACCTTTCTGCAACTTCATGTCCATAGAACATCATGTGTTTTTAAAAACCTCTATATAGTGGAGCAAGTTGATAACAGACTTTCATTGTTGTGTTGGAGACCCAGGCAATAAAGTGAAACTCCTGCTGGTGCCAGCTGTCAGAGTTGAGTTGCACACCAGGGGCATAGCCAAAAGTGTTTAGAAAGAGGGGGGGAAGGAGGAAGGTTCAATTATACTTTACATTAGTGCATGCATTTACGTGTACACGCACACACACACACACACATACATATTTGAAAAATTTTAGAGAGGGGGAAAAGGATGAGCCCCGGTGCTCTACCCGCCGTTTAAGTGGCAGAGAGGGAGAGCATGTGGATGGCGGGAACACTGGTTCAACGTAGAGTGTGCTAGTACTCTCCTATCCTACGTACTTCTGCAGTTCTGGTCTCATTCGTGAGGCAGGTGCATCCTGCCACAAAGATGCACACTGTGCTCTCTATTTTGAGTCGCAGTGTGCAGCGGTGCTTCTGTTGTTAAGTGACTGAAGTGTGCTAAGTATCATCGTTGCAGACAACGATGTGGCTTTGCAGCCTGTAAGAAATGATCATTAGGCACTGCTCTAAACTCCCCCACCCCCTTACACATGACATATGGCCACTCTGAAGAGAACTTCGCTGCTGTAGCATCAAAGCGTCATCACCAGATCTCAGGTGCAACCACAAGTGGGCAATGATGATGTTTGATGTTTTGTGGCGCAAGGGCCATTTCACGGCCAAAGAGCGCCAGTTTATCTTACTAAAGATATGGACAATGATTGTGATAAGCGGCTGTATAAGGACCATAAAATTACTCGCGGTAAGGCGGGTAAAAACATACAAGCAATAAAATCATGACCATGCCGTAAAAGGTGTGTGTGGTGTGAATAGATGACAAAAGTTGGTGATAATAGAAAACGATGGTGGACATGTATGGCATTAGCACAATTGCCTCACTCGTTCATACCCTTGCGTCCAAAGGCCGTGAGGCAGGTGCTTTGTTGTGTAGCCACTACAGCGAAAACTTCTCTGGAGAGGTCGTGCTACGGAAAGCTTGGGTATATGATATGAAAACTACGAATTTCTTTTAAAAACGCTGACAATGATTTATGACTAAAAAGCGGTTCCCTACCGACGAACATTGCAGGGTGTAAAGGTATATGTTGTCGGTAGGGTAATGGAAAGTGTTGTTTTCTTAGAGTTTCTAACTGTTTGCACTGGATTAACATGTGAAGAACTGTTAATGCTTCACCACATCTGTCACACAATGGTGGATCAAAAACGTTGTGAAGTGGTTGACAGCAACATCAATGTTCAAAGTACATATGTCACTCCAACCTAGACGAGCTATGGTATAAAACCGTTCCCAGGCGGCTCTGTTTATGAGCCATTGGGGAACACGTGGTGGACACTCAGTTGCTGTAGTTTTGCTCAAAACTACGAGGAAGTAGTCCCTTCCGTACAGATTACTGACGACTTTCCACTGGAGTAGAGGCACAAAAGATGGAGATACTATGCTTAGGTCTATGGAGGAGTAGGTGTTATTAGCGAGGTTATAATAGGTTGGTTCTTTTCGATTTAGGAGACACGCACTCGACGAGAGAAGGAACTGTTCAATCAGTCGACCTCGCGCGTCGCACCGAGAGTCACCCCATAGCCTGCTATGCGCATTACAGTCTCCAAGGAGAACATAAGGCTCCGGAAGTTCTTCAATTAAAGAGTATAAACACATTTTTGCAGCTGATAGCTAGGAGGAATGTAAATAGTGCAGATTGTGATCAGTTTATCAAAAAGAACTGCTCGAACAGCCACTGCCTCAAGGGATGTTTGGAGTTGAAAGTGTGTGCATGCTATTCCTTGATTCACTATGATGGCAACACCTCCGGATGATATCATGGCATCATCACGGTCCTTCCGGAAAATAACGTATTTACGAAGAAAATTTTTGTGTTTTGAATTAAGGTGTGTTTTCTGTACACACAGCACTTTTGGTGAGTGTTCGTGTAAAAGTTCTTGGATGTTGTCAAGGTTTCTGAGAAGGCCCCTGACGTTCCTTTGTATAATTTGAGTGTTCATGGTGAATGTAAAATAGTGCTGTGTGTACGAAAAGCGAGTGGCTGTTTAGACAGGGAGTTTGAGTTCACGTAACAGGGCCGTCACCAGGCCCTGTTATCTGCTTTTTTGTTTTCTTGGTGCGCTCCAAGGAGCCACGCCGCTCTTTCGGCACCAAGGGTACCGACGTATCCATTGCCTCCTCGGAGGCACTGGATGCCCGCACGTGCGGGCTGTTGGTTCGAATTTTGGCCTCACCTGGTGAGGTGAGGCCTTGAGACCTGAGGACTCTGGAGTCTCCGGTCTCTGTTTGGGAGTAGGCGGTGTAGCCTGGACTACAGCCGCCTTGGGGGCAGGTGCCACAACCACCGGCTCGGTATGCGCGGGCCGAAGGAGTGGCGAGAGCTGGTGCGGCGGTGCCACTGACGCGCCCCATCAGCGTATGGAGGTCCATAGAATGGTGCTACTCTTCGCTGTGGTTCCTTAAATGAAATGTTCTCCTTCACCTTCAATGTAATTATTTTTTTTTTCTTTTTTACAGTATGTGCAGGAGCGTGAATATGCGGCATGGTTTCCTTCGCAGTTTACACAGTGTGGCAGTTGTTCGCAGTTCTCAGACACGTGGCCTAGGACTCCACATTGTGCACAAGTCTGGCGACCACGACAGGTTTTAGAGCCATGGCCATACCTCTGGCATTGGAAGCAACGATGAGGGTTTGGTATGTACGGCCTGATAGATGACTTCGTGTACCCCGTTTCAATAGATTCTGGTAGTTTACTGGATGCAAACGTGAGTATTAAGTGTTTCGTCGGTGTTTCCTTATTATCTCTTCTGATGATAATTCTCTGTACATTAGTGACATTTTGGCTCTTCCACCTCTCCAAAAGTTCAGTTTCGGTCAGTTCAAGTAAGTCTTCATCAGATACTACTCCGCGAGTGATGTTCATAGATCTGTGTGGTGTTACGGTGATTGGTACGTCACTAAACGTGGAGAGGCTGTCCAGCTTTACAAATTGTGCTTTGTCCCGAATTTCGAGGAGAAGGTCTCGACTAGCCATTTTGGTTACTTTGTATCAAGCCCCGAGAGTTTCAGTAAGACACCTGGCAACTACGAAAGGAGATACGGTCCTGGCTTGCTTTCCGGTTTTTTCACAGTGAATGACGTGGAAGTGGGGAAATGTTTCTATTGGCTGGTTGAAGAAATTTATGTCATCGGTGCGTACACGCTTTAGGCCGGTACGATCAGAGAGTAGGGGGAATGCTCCATGCATGCGGGTCTTATTTTTGTTCAGCAGCTTTGGCGGCCACCCACCACGAAGCCCAACAAGGGGACGCTGCAAGTTTGCAGGTGCTGAAAGCTTGCAGACGTCAGGCGTACAACACTGCCATAACCCAATGCGCCTAGACCAAGGTAGGCTATTTGCACAGGGTTAACCCTTGCCGCCAGGAAAATTGGAAGTAAACAGAAGAGATAAGTAGACAGGACAGACTAAAAGTGAGAGTTAAAGACGAAGTTGTAGGGGAGAGAGATAGGAAAAGGCGACTGCCGATTTCCCCTGGGTGGGTCAGCCCAGGGGTGCTGTCTACGTGAAGCCGGGGCCAAAGCGGTGTGTTGCCTCTGCCGGGGGGGCCTTAAAGGGTTAATCACCCGGTGTCGGCTCAACCCCCATTACTCCCTTCTCCCCGGACATGGCAAAGCCACGCACGGCTTGGCGTGGGAGGGAATCCGAACTCCCCCATTAGCTCGGGTCCGTGGTGTCGCTACGCACCAAACGCCTACTTACGCAGACGCCTCTGCGAGGCACAAGTGGGCAAAAAATGTGGAACACACTCATATGGTCAGCAAAAAAAAAAAATTTAGACAATTTCTTTTTCTTGAATGGTTTCACTACAAGAATTTATTTCAGCAATATAAAAAAAACATTTTGGGGATGCATTTCACAAAAATGTCAACTCTCAAACGGTTAATGATGTTGCATTCTAATGAATATCAGTGCAACAGTATGGATGTGCAAGTACTTACCAACTTGCTCCTGGACAATCTTGACGGTGGGGATCTGTTCAATCTTGTCTTTTGCTAAAGGAGGTGGCCCTGTCCCATCTAGCTGATTCAGGAGCTGTAGAAAGAATGTACAATCCCATGTCAAAGCTACCATGCAGCAGTGTGCTATGTGCACACTAATATATGCAGTGTGAATCTGCCTGGGGTTTGTTTAGTACAGTGACATTTATGTAGGCGAAGGAGATTTCAGACACCATTAAAAGAGCACCGCAATCAAATTTACACATGTCAATATTTTTGCCTCAACGAGGAGCTATCAACCACCTCGTAGCTATTCAGGACTCAAAATGCAAACGAGGGTCAATTAACTATGTTTTCTTGATTAATATGACCAGCAGTTTCTACCACAATTTAAAACAGGTGGCAAGCCTTCAAAATTGTAGTGCTAGCAGCGCTGCCTCGCGGTCACTCTTACAGTGTGCCCCAGCTAATCCTGGTCACAGAAAGAAGTGACACTACAAGTGCAAAAATTAGTGGCTACGGAATTTTTCTACGCCCTATTTTCCTATTACTGGCTATACTATAATGGCGTGTGCTCCCATGTACCACGCGTGTAATGAAGCGGCATGCTTTTTCTGCGCTTCAAGGAACATGACTGCAGCGCAAAACTATTCCCATGACGTCCTGGCAAGCAGACATATCATTCAAAGCGGTGTGACAAATATCGGGCGTGACGAGCAACCAGGGCCACAAGGAGTAAAGATTTCCAGGCATTGGCACCCACGCTGACTCAGATTACAGACATTGTTACTAGGCCATCACTCACGATGGAATGTGCCACACCAAAGACATCACAGTAATGTCCATGTTACAGGGTGCTGAATGCACCATTGGGCTTTCGTACACAGTGTGCCCTCGAAATAAAATAACTTCCAAGTGACAAAAGCCATTAAAAAAATTGGCCAAAAGTACATAAGCATACCGAGCAACCAAATGAAGAGCAAATCTTTTTTACAGAAGTTTATCGATCTTAAGAAAATTTGCAGAGTTTATGCATACTTATGCATTGATTTCAAGTACACAAACATTTTTTAGAACTATTGAGTGTAACCGTCTATACACGGCTACCATCGTATGCACAGCACATTGCTATTTCGGCCTGCAAACATTTCGTCATGCCAGCTATGTATTGCCACCGGTACATGTAATCGAATTTAAAGACTCATTTGGCACAATTTGATAAAATGTAGAGTACTCACAGATTGAAATTCGACATAACATTTCTTTGTACAACGACTATTGTGGGCGATTTCTCGAGATAACTGCATTATGTCGCAACATATCTAGTCTAAGATAATGTAGACTGTGATTTAAGATGTTTACGGTAAATTATCCAATATGACCCAAACTGAAGACTATAGAAACTAAAGTAGGAGCGTTACATTGCCCTAAACTGTCCTGCTTCAATCCGCGGAGCAAACCCCACTCGAAGCAGCTTGACACAGTTGGCGTACAGGTGGCTCCATCCCCTTCAAATTCCAATGTAACCTCCCTCTTCTCTGAGCATGCACTTGTGTCATCCACTCTTTTCCACCCCTTTCCTCTTTAGCATTTATCTTGATGTATTGCAATCTTGCAACTGCGCAAAACCTAGTAGTAATGAAGACAAAGAAAAAAATGTGGCACCTGTGTAATGACCGCATCCAGGCCCCCTCGGCCCCAGGCATAGTCTCCAGGGTTTCCATGCAAGTTGACCAGCCTGCTTTGAAAGGGAGTACACACAAAGCAGTCAGCAACATAATAGAGGCCTTTAAACAGAACTGCCACTTACTGTAACAGTACCAAATAAGCTTCATAAAGCTTCAACTGCATATTCATAAAATGATGACACATGCCAGACTGGTCTAAAAAAGCAAACAATGTTCCCGAGGGTCCCCTTGAATGCATACAAAAGAACTGGAGGGTGCCTGAGCTTGGCTTCAAAAAGTAGAATGCGATAGCATATCCAAACCATGTTCATATTGCCTTCCCAATTGCTAGCCTGGCTTTGCTTTATGGTGGACACTTACCTCCGTATTCACAAACGCTCTTTCACTCAAGGGCTCTCCTCGACTTGACCAAGTCAAAGCGGAGCGTGCTCCTCCACTCAAAGGAACACTGCGTTTCTTGAACGCTCCTCCACATTTCCTTCGCCAAGGGAGGCCTTGGAAATGCTCCCTTCAATTGAGTGAAGCAAGTGGGCCAAGAAATGCGCCTGATAACGAGAGTATTCCTAATTGCATTTAGGAAATGCCTATATCTGTACAATAAATAAATGCTTTTCCTAATCATTTTCTTTATAAATTGATATTACGGCAAAGTAGATGCATTTAGAGTGGTAGCGTAGTTTCCGTAAGTCTTGAGCCGATAGAGTAAGCGAAACCTCCACTTCAAGTCTGGCAACAGCCGCACTTAGGCAGCTAAACTAACAGCTGTTTGCGATTTGTCTGCTGCTGACTGTTTCCATGTGCCTAATTTATTTCGTTTCAATTGCGCCTGCGTTTTGGCTGCTGCTTAACATTTCCACGTGCTTAATTTATTTTGTTTATTATGTGCCTTCTAATTGCGGTTTATACACAGTAACATCTGCTGTGTATGTTGTTTGAAACTGAACTTTCACCGGGGTAACTAACGAACAACGAGAGTGATGGCAAAAAGCACAACAAACGACGGCTTGTTGTTTTGTTACCACCACCAGAATTGTTACGCACAATCCAGATGGTGTAAAAATAACTATTTATTGGGGATAATTTGTGCCCGAAAAGTAAAGGAAAAATGCAGCAGCATTTCTAACAGGCGATCCGCAAAAGGAATCTATCTCCGAGAAGCCCTCGGGCGGTGCACCACTTCTTTCTCGTCAAAATCCCGTGCTGAGGAGGCGCGCGTAGTGACGGCCTTTTCTTGTCTCATCATCGGGCCGCTGGTCTGTTGGGGGGCGCACGAACTAGCGCGCGTAGTTTGAATACTGCGTCGATCTTGCGCCATCTGGATTGTGCGTAACAATATACCGTATTTACTCGCATAATCCTCGCACTCGCATAATTCTCGCACCCCTCACATCGCCCAAGAAAAATACGAAAAACTTTTTCCTCGAGTAATTATCGCACCCCCGAAAACTGCCGCAATAATGTCGTCTGCTCGTTCCAGCCACTGATGATGATAGCGCGTGCTATTTGGCGCCATCTCTTAAGCATCAAGTGTACTATTGCACAGAGATTCAATCCAATCCAAGCCAAGCCAAAGTGGCCAGTGCGCGTTGCGGCGTGTTATGTATGTTGTGTCGGTTATCTTGGCACGTTATGGGGCGATACTGAAGCCACACGGCTGCTTCAAGTTGCAAGTGATAGATCATACGCTAAACAACGGCAACAAGGCCGCCGGTAGGCCCTTCGGAGCCTACGAGTTTTGTGTTCGCTACTGGTGACGGCAGCTGAAAGCCACCAAGACGCGTTGAGCCTGCCGTGTGCCTAAAACTGGGATTGATGGTAAACTTTATTTCTTCAGAAGGAAACAGCGGACGATTCTGTTAAATAGCCATCAGCCCAATACTGACGCCCTACGCTTAGCTTTTGAGGGCTCCTGTTGAGCGCCGACCGCTACCGCTACGCCCGCAACGCCTACAAGCTTCGCGTATGGTATTCTAATTCTCGACTATTTGCTTCCACTTTTTATGTCTCAAATAAATCTTGCCTTGTGTTGAACCTCTGCTTTTATTGTCGAGGTAAGTTCTAATTAGTACTTTGTAAAGCGTGCTGTAAGTTGCTGGTGTGAGAATTCCGATTTACGGCCACTTCGGGTTTTTTTTTTTTTTTTCGCTCCCTGCGTTTTCGTGGAAAGTTTTCCCCGCGCAATTCTCGCACCCCCCAACTATGCATCAGGTTTCCAGCAAAAAAAGTGCGAGGATTATGCGAGTAAATACGGTGTGTGTGCATATATATATATATATATATATATATATATATATATATATATATATATATATATATATATATATATATATATATATATATATATATATAAACCATTCAACATCACCTAAATCATGCATTGTGAATATGAGCACTGCTATTTCAACGAAAGTACTATTTTGACAACCCCACTGAGCAAACAATGATAAAGTTCATCTTAGCATTTACTGCAGCTGTCAAATCATTTGACAGACTGCGAATTTAAATATCAATCTGCCAAACTTGCGGCCTTGAAATTCGGTATATTCGCAAAATCGAGGAGTAGAGGTGGCGAAAAGAAAAAACTGACGCATAAATTTTGGGGGGGGGGGGGGGGGGGCAGAAATGTCATACACTACTTCAAATGATTCCTAGTAGCTTATTTAGGTGTAAGTAACTATACTGTTACTCAGCGTTGTGCAGCATACAAACGCATGAGTAACTGAGCAAAATGTGCAGTGTTCCACTAACGCCAACAGCCCCTTCTAAATCTCAATAGGCTTTTCTGCGCGGCAGTGGTGTACTGCGGCAAAGGTAGCTAAGCAGCACTAGGATTAAAGCGAAGAAATTATTTAGCCGCTACACCCCCACCCCATTTCCCGCTTCGGCTCCCTTGCAAGGCGCATCCGTCCAGCTAAAGTAACAAACGCGCGTGCCCGTTGGCCCGCGGACGGTAGCGGATATCTATTGACAGGACCGTGGCAGGGATAACGCAACTTCAAGACCAAAGTAAGTGTTCTTTGTGCCCCTGCTAAAGCAATAAACGTGGTCGCTGGCAATGCTAGCATTCGCAGCACATCGAGCTTGCTCGCGCAAGAAAAACACGGCATACGCTTCCAGCTTTAGTTCTTGACAAGCCATAGCCATGTTTTCAGGTTAGGAAATATACATTTCCTGCGGAGCGTTGGTGTCTACAGCAACTCATTTCTGTCTTGAAGCTTCGTCGTTTCATCGATAGGTATCCGCTGCAGTCAGCGGATCGATGGGCACGCAGCGTTGTTACTTTATCTGTTCAATCGAGTCTCCCAAGTGTAGGGCAGGTGCCTTGAATACTTTAATTATATTCCAGGAGCAATAAATCGGGTCTGTGTGCTTCGCCTGATGGCACAAGCTGCAGGTGGCAGACGTGGCCTGCATTTTTAGCTGAAATTAGTGCACCTGAAAAAAATTGAGGCTGGCAGGGCATTTTGGTGCAGCATGGTGCAATTTCAGCAAATTTCATGGTTTTGGCACAGCTCGGCCGCAACAATATGAAATTGTATTTAATCGGCGCAACTGGTGCTGCTGTTACACCCCTGCAAATGGCACTGCCTCCAGAACTTCACCAAGAAGAGTTCTTTAACTCTATCACGTTAAAAAGTTGAGCAGCTAAGCTGGACTCCCACAGCCTTCCAATCCACACGCCTGAAAGACTAAGAATAATAGGTTCTAAAAGCTCAACATTGTAGAAACCAGATCGTCCCTGGGGGGGAAAATGCACACACCATAAGGGCGTAGCCAGCACTAGCTCCGATAGCTCTCGATGTATTCCTTTATCTGGGATGCTTCCTTAAAACGATGTGGAAGTGAAAGATCCAAGCAAATTTCAATATTTTGGCACAGAGCACTCCTGCAAATGGTTCCACACAAAGAGGCCCCATACTAGAGTGAAAACAATTTTTCAGCTGAGTTATGCAATGTAAAATGCATTATTCATTTGTTTCAAATACTTTGAATATGCTATTTGATCAATCTTTCTCACTCCAAGAGTTGACTTTTGATGCAAGCTCACAAAATTGCACTTAGCTAAAATACTTTATTGGTACTCACACTGGAAGGCCTTGATTGGAGATAAAGCCTGCAAAGTTAAGATCATTCAGATCAAATTTTGAACTAGCAACATTCCCACAATACATGGGATACATACAAGTACTTACCTGTAGTTCCAGTGAGATTGGCAAAAATTTGGTGAATGATTCTGAAAAAAAAAAAAAAAACAAGAGCCACGGTATTTATACCATAAGTTCAAGAAAATCAGCTTTCCCAGGGAATGAACAATTTCTGTACTAAAAAGAAATAAAAAAATGTGGCTGCTTAAGCAGGTCACATCACAAACATCCCGGCTATCAGATGTACGTACAAGTTTGTAGTACATATGACTGGCCAGCACAAAGTGGTCAGAGCACTTTTGGTGGATACAACCTGAAGAACTCTAAAAAATACCTGAGCCCTCACAATCCTGGGTCAAAGCCAAGCATAAAGAATGCAAGTAACAGAAAAGCAAAAAAGAAAAGGACACACCTGGAAATATTATAACAGTGTACCTTTTCTTTGGATTATCATGCATGAAATTCCTAATCTGCGGCACTATCTCACCCTCAAATACAATTAACGTCGAGATGGTATTACCCTTCCAGAGGCTGCCTCCCCTGGCTGTCAGGATGTGGCCTGCGGCCCGCCCGCCCCGGTGACCTTCGCCGCATCATTGAGTCCGAAGCTGATGATGACGGCGCATCTGGTGACGCGTTGTCTTCCGCCATAGCACCAGGGCCACGATCAATCCTCCGCAGAATATCCACTATGGTACTGTTCCAAAGCTGCACAGTAAAAATGCGCATATCATATGAATACATCTTTTATTTCTTTCATTGCTGACCCAGCAGTACAAGACACTTAACAAGACAGTACAGATAGCTTCTCAGCCTTTATCACTTTTTTTTCTTTTCCTCTATGAACATCATACAGCATACAATATGAATGAACATGTGCAAATGCTCCACGAAATTGTCTTATTATATTGCCCCGTGTGCTCCCTTATACTTTTTTTCCTGTCCCATTACACGTTTAGTTACTGTCTTGCACAATCCATGCAAAATGTGTGTGAACTATCCAGATCATTACAGAACCTTCCAATGAGGCTACATGCACAATACAAAGTTTATTCTAGAACTTAATCAGCTGCTATACTCGGATACAACTAAAGAAAAATGCACCTTTTCATTGTCAAAGTACCCCCTCTCCCCCATGCCTTTAACTGAGATGTGCAAAAAAATTAAAGCACAAAAAGAAAACACCCAGATGCAGCGCACACTAACTGAAAATTTCTTGAACCAAACATGTATTAGCGGTTATGTGAACACATGTAGAAGAAATTATTAGATGAGACGACAAAAATTGTATGAATGACGCGCTTCCAGGAAAGCTACCTCAACGGAAAGTAACGTGACCGAGGGTGTCACAACACATGAATTACCTGTTTTGTTAATAAAATACGCTTCTTTGATTTAAAGGCCAACTACAACGAAATTCGGCACTCGGCAAAAAGTCAATATATAGGTAGTCTAGCTAGAGGTAGTGCTGCCTGCCAAATGTCGCCTTTGAAATACAAGCGCTTACCTTGGAAAAAAGCTTGCAAACGACGGTGTTTTTGAAACCGAAACTAGAACACTACGCCTGTACGGCTGACCGAAAGTGACATGAATGACAGAAAAATCGTCTGCTCTGCACTCCTCGAGCACGCACATCGCGGACCGCCCCTTAGTGCGTGTGCTTTTTGCATGTTAACTAAAGAAAGCTGCGTGAACACGCCTCTTATCGAACAGTGGTCCGGGCTTCCCACTGATGGGTTTGCACTGTCTGACCCCCGTATTGATAAACGCTGCTTGACTTGGACTTGACCTGCCATCGACTCCAATGCAGCACAAACGCGTTGTCTATAGGCAATGCCAAGGCAGCACAAATGCATTTCAAGTGCACTGCATTGAAAGCGGTTTCAATGCAGGAAAGAGCGATTAAGCGGCAGGGTGCATTGCTCACAAAGAGCGATGCGGCAACGTTCTGTGGTAATCGGCATATCCGGTTCTGTCCGCTTTACCTGGGCACGCCGCTAGAGCTTCGCATCGTTTATTGTAACTTACTGTATATATAATACGTATTTATGGCCGTTTCAGCCTAAGTAAAATTTTGTTGCAGTTCGCCTTTAGTGCGCTATTCTATCCCTGAATACGGATTGAAGAAGCGTATTTTATCAACGCGACTTCAACACCATTGGCTGGGGAGGGGGGGGGTCGACTGTGATGGCAAAAGGTTGCTTTTTGGTTGCAAAAGGTTGAAAAACTATTGCTTATTTTGATTTCACCTAGTCGGGCAGCTTACATTTTTTTCGCTCACAGCAATATTGATGTCACTATAGCTCCTTTCTAGTTTCTCAAAGGGTGGAAGGTGAGAACTTCAGGACGGACCACAAAGAACAAATGACACGAGCACTGTCGCGAAGTGGCCCGTCCTGGTTTGTGCTGACCTTTAATGCTCTGTACCAACTAGGCCCAACAGAAATTTCTCAAAAAGTGTTTACTATAAAATCATTTCCAGAGTAGAGTGACTACAGCTTTCAACAGGCAGGCCCTGGTGTGTACAAGTACTGCTGCCATTGTGCTTGCGCATTTCCTTTATCAAAGATAGAGAATATTACTTGCCTTTCAGTGATCAAGTAGAAAGGTTGCTGTAGTTTCTCTGACAGATGTACAATAAGTTTACTTGCATGTGTTCACATGAATTGCACCATGGACTTGAGTGTTGGTTGTTCGGCCGCAAGCGAGTCAAGCGGCGATCGCTACAATGCTCACTACTGCCAAATGTAAATATTACTGCATGGCCGTGCTCCAGATGAATTATCAGTTCGGACTCAGAATTAGGGGCATGCACAGCAAAATACTGATAACAAAAAGGTGAAAGTAGTTCGGTGAAAAATCTACAAAATGCCTGTGAATAATCCATATTTTTATTCAAATACATTTATAATTATTAATTTAAGTGGCTTTATTTTCAGTATTCATGAACAAACAATATGTCTACACCTGAATGAAATGTGTCACTTCATCACCACTAAAAGGATTATATTTTGTGCTCTAGTTTTTTAATACAAGTCACCTTGAAGTAAATTTGCAATATAAAATTTCAATTTGTAGAGTTGAACCCTGAAAAAAAAAAAAGGACCCTAAAAGTGTTGATAACCAGATCATTCACTTTTTCATAGGAGACCATGTAAAAATTTTTGAGCATGAGACTTTTCAACATATCTTGACCTTCTACAATTGGTAGAACGCATTTACATTCTTAATATTAAAATTGGTAAGTCACTCAAAGCGACAGAATGGATATGAGAGGATGCAAAAAACACAGCCGAGAATCGCTACAAGTTAGAAGGATTGATGAAATCAAGAAAGCAGGAACAAAATGCAATCGGCTCGCATAAAATAGCGTAAATTGGGGATTGTTTTGGGAGAGGCCTGTGGTGAGCAAGGAATAGGCCACAGGTAGTGATTTGTTTAGTGTAGAACTTGTGTGCTGAGAAATGTTGGTTAGTATGAATGTGAGTGTATGTATGTATGTATGTAAGTATATATATATATATATATATATATATATATATATATATATATATATATATATATATATGTATATATATATATATTCAGACTGCCTAAAACATCAAAATAAACCACGTTGTGACTGCTCGCGGAGGATCTACTTGACTATTTGCAATGCTACGGCCACTTGACCCCCATGTCTGCCTATATATATATATATATATATATATATATATATATATATATATATATATTTGTGAGCATGACAAGCGAATGACTCTTCATTCTCTCAAGATATCATCATCACCTGTACATCTTCATCATCTGTAAATATCATCACCAGTGTGATTTAGCTCAAGCCTGGCTGAACGAATCGGTTACTCACAAGTGGTGGATGGTGCATTTCGTTCCCCCCAAATCCTCTCACCCGTTCTCGCTGGAGCTTCACTCAGGTTGTCTCATACAACCATCTCCTCCCATGGCGGCCCAAGAAAACCCTGGCCCATCCAACGTCGCCGTCCTACAGCAGCCACCGCCACCCACTTCGCCCAACTACTTTCGCCTGCGTGACCCACCTGTGTTTTCCGGTCTCCGAGGTGATGATGTACAAGGCTGAATCAGGAACTACGACCTCGTCAGCTATTCGAACAGGTGGGACGATCCACAGAAGTTGCCCAGCATCCCATTTTACTTGCTCGATGTCGCCAAAACTTGGTTCTAGAACCACCACCCGGATCTTCCCAACTAGGACACTTTCGCGCAGCAACTTCGTCAAATTTTGGTGCTCCTACAGTTCACACTGAGGCAGCAAAGAAGAATCTTGCTTGAATGCACTCAGCTGCCTGGTGAATCTTACACCTCGTATATTGAGGATGTCCTTGCACTGTGCAAGCGTGTTAACTCCCGTGTCTCAGAACGACCAAATACGCCACATTATAAAGGCATTAACACCATCGCCTTCAAGGGCCTTGCTACGCGAAATCCTGCACCACCCAGGACGTGATAACCATCTGTCAGCGACTTGACGAGCTTCAGTCTCTTCATCTCTGCTACGATGCCACCGACATTCGTTTGCCAGCACCCCTCGACTTGCGTGCGCTTATTCGCGACATCGTTCCTGAAGAGCTTCACGGGCACTGCTCTTCCTGCGCTGTGGGAGTTACTCTCCCTTCTGCAAAAGATGGCTAGCAAGACCTGATTAAACAAGAGATCGCCTCCGACGTGTTCCAAGGGTCCCTGCATGCGCCAGATGTCCACGTACGCCAAAGTTGCCGCGCTCTCTGCCGCATCCACCGTTTCTGTGCCTACACCAGCAGACCATACGCCTGTGGCTTCGTTGTCACCGCCAGTGCGTGCACCGCCTTACTACACACCTCAGCACCCTCCTCGGCCAATCTGTTACTACTGTGGCTATCGAGGACATATCGCTTGGTTTTGTCGAAGGCGCCAACAAGACGAGCAACGCCGCTACGCTCCTGAAGAATATCGAAGCTTCTGTCCAACCATGAACTACCTACTACCAGCCTCCCGCTCGTTATATTACCGTGCATCGTCTCCTACCTACTATACTGACATGCCTGGAAATTCCCGTACGTCTCGCTGCAGGTCGCCGTTGAGTGTCGCTTCTGCGGCCCGCCTCCCATTCCACGAACGCCCACGCAGAAAGCTCCCTGATGCAGTTTTAGGAGGGAAAACTGCATCCACCAGACAGCTAACAATTCCTCCAGAGAGGCCATTCAACTTGATAGTAGTGCTTGTAGAAGGTGTGCGCATTGTTAGGCTCTTGAAGACACTGGCGCTGTCGTTTCGATTATTCATGCTGATTTTTGTTCCCGCCTTTGAAAAGTCGCCACGCCTTATGGCGGCCCACCTCTCCGTGCGGCCACCAACGCTCTCATCTGTCCACTTGCACAGCGTACCGTTCGTGTCTGCATAGAAGGCATTCCCCATCACATCGTTTTCGGGGTATTTCGTGAGTGCACCCACGCTCTCATTCTGGGATGAAATTTCTTGTCTTCTGCGTCTGCTTTCATATCTTGTCATCAGTGCCTTCTGCATCTAAACGCCACTGACTCACCGCTTGAACACAATGGACGCATCCGCCTTGTGACCATGTCAGATTATGTACTACGGCCATACATAGAGGAAATTGTAAGTGTTAATTGCACAGACATTCTGGATGGTGACGTACTAATTTTCCTTTACGGACATACCCTACGTAGGGGTAT